GGGATTTTTACCTTATTATATCAGCCTAGGAAATGAAACAGAATTATAAGTGCAACATAAATATATTATATTAATAAACAAGCATATCTAATTAATTAAAATAAGAATATCTCAATAAATTACATTGAATATTAAAAAAATTATGGCTTATTTCCTATGATGTATAACTATACAAGCTAACACACTAATTCATTAAAAATGGGAGTAATATTACCTGATTATAACCTCATGGTAAATGAATCAAAGTTATATAAGCAACATAATATTATTATATTAAGTTAAACCTACATCAAATTGACTTATATAAGAAAATCCCAAGAAATTTCATTGCAAATTAAGAAATAATGGCTAATTTTCTATAATGCCTTATTAATAACTTTACCACACTAAATCATTGAAAATTTGGGTAAGTTTACCTTGTTATAACCTTTTGGTCACTGAAACAAAGTAAGTAAAGCCAAATAATGTTATACTATCAAGTAACTACTACATCTAATTGACTAAAATAAGAAAACCCCATTAAATTATATTGACAATGAAGAGAGCTAAGGTAAATTTTCTATGATGCCTATTTGTTCAAGCAAATACATTACATATTTAATCAAAGCACAGAAGGCGCTGAATTTGTTTGGGTCTCAGAATGTAAGAAAGGTGCAGTTTGTGAGATTATATGTTTAGTGCCACCAATGCTTTCCAGCGTTTTAATTGTAGTAAATTGGCTATAAGACTAATTGCAACACTGATATTCAATCCAATGTTTATTTGACTTTAACAATTTAAAAAAATGAGTTACCTTTACTGGGATTTGAACTCCAGACCTCTCGCTTCCTAAGCGAGCCCGAAAACCCTTCAGCCACGGTGAATTTATATGTGAACGGCCTGAAGCAAACCATATTATTCTAAATTAGGGCTTGTAACGACTTTAACTGTTGTTTAACACAGATGTAAATAATCCTGGAGCTTATTATAAGCATGTATATTTATAAAGAATCAAAGGGCTGCAAGTTCTGTGGTATTTTCTGATCTTTGCAATCTAAATTGTACTGTATATCTGTATGCATTTTCCTGTATAAGTTTATTTTTATGTATTATAATTCCTTTTGTAAGGCACCAGAGTTTGATACATACGGAATTCTGCATAACTAGAGTTGCATCAGAAATTATTTATGTTCTTTTTTTACGACAGCCACACTTTATCCTTGTATAGCATGGCTACTTCCTTAACAAAAACACTAAAAAAAAAGAATTTAACAAAAAAAAAAGTTTCCTCGACTAGGATTCGAACTCGAGACCTCTCACTCATAAAGCGAGCGCGCTACCACTGTACCACGGAGTAATTATACACAACATGTCTGAATAATATCAATTGATTCTAAATTTAGAACTTCCATTGCAGTTCGGGTTTGTAATCCTTATTAATTTCGATGTATTTTGTTCAGGGTAAACCTGTTGTTTATAATTGAAGTAAATATTTTAGCGAAAATCCTCTCGCCCAAACAGTCCGACATGTAGAATCTATATATTCCACTACTCGGTTTGTGTAGTATTCGGTAATCGACATGGCTAAAAATAGTATTTTCATTGATAAAATCATATTCATCCGCGTAATTTGTGATTGTGCATTTATTGACAATTCTATAAGCCAACGCTATTGTTTAACTTTAAATGCGTTGTAATTTGTGGATACTTGTAACAAAATAAAATATTTCTTTCTTTTAAATCGCTTAAGTTTTAAGATGTTTTGAGAACTACTTGTTGTTAGGTTTGTCGAAAACTTCTGTGTTAGAGATTGAATGTCCGCTTTGTATTTAGTTATTTTCGATCAGAAAATACAATAAAACAATATTAGAAATCTTCGACCATTCGGGAATTACTTTGCTTGAAAATTGATGCGCCTGTCTTTGACCATCTTTACGCAGTGATCTCCCCTGGATTTTTCGGCTTTAGTGTACATACAAAAGGGAAGTAACCGCTTCAAAAAAGTGGACTACTTTCGGCATTTGCAATTAACAACATTAGACTCTGAAATTTCGCTACCATTATTTGTTTGGTCTGACGACCCAAACAAATAAAAATGGGGGTAATTTTCCCTTATTATAACCTCTTAGGAAATGAAACCAAGTTAGTAAGGCAACATATCACTATAATATTGAGTAACAATTACATCTGTTTGATTGATATTGAAAAAATTCATCAAATTTCATTGAAAAATAAAAAAAAGGTATGGCAAATGTCCTATAATGCAGACAGAGGTGTTCAGATCCACTATCAGTAAGGAAGTGTTCCCTTCCCTGTCAGGGGACCATTACTGGCATGGTATATGGAATCACAAAAAAGATACTGTAAAACTGATTTTTTCATTTTTACAGCTCTGAACTATTCACTAATGAGGGGACATAAGATAAGTTAGTTAACATAAACCCGTTTAAAATACATGAATGGCTAGCTATCATTTAACCCTTTCCCTGCCAGAGGGTTATTGTTTTATTGTTCACCTATTTGCCAGAGGATTTTCTAAGAAATTACTATAATATTATTAATTAATACAATTATTATTATTTGTTATTAGTATTATAATAATTATATATGTTTCCAAATCTGTTAGTATAATAATAATTATTGTCGATGGTATAATTTTCTTTATATTTATTATTATTTTTATTATTATATTAATTTATTATTATAACTATTATTTTTATAGAAACGGCTAAAAGCCGTCCATATGGCAAATACGCCGAAAATAATAGGGACAGCTTAAGCCGTCCCTATGGCAGTGAAAGGGTTACTAATCAAATCACTAAAACGATCTAGCTTAGAAGTTTGTTAAAAATTATATGATAAGGGATATTTTATTAACGTTTAGAAACAATTTCTATTTTGCGTGCGTTTAAGCGTGCGTATATCGTGTAGCGTATTTCGTTTTGCATGCGTTTGCGTATTTCGTTTTCATAAAGGGTGCGTGTAACCTGTGTTCGTATAGCATGTAACGTGCATGCGTTTTTTTCCGCAACGTGCATTTTGGCGTGTAAACTGAAACGTTCACCCTACTGTATCACATACACAAAAATAAAAGACTGTTTAAAGTGAAATAAGAGAGTAGTTTTTCATTTAAACGCCTATAGTATAACGCTACCATTTAGCCATTTTTACATAATGTTTTTATAACGCTAATGAGGTCATGTCAAATTATATGCATGGATGTGCAATACCATATTTACTGAGTGGCTAAATCGGCACTGGTGTGTGATAAAGCATATTAATACGGGGAAGTCAAAAACCGCGGGTCCGGGCTTTGACTTGCCTGGCTATAGACTACATGTGTATATTTAAAAGAAAATCAAATAAAAAACAATTAAAAAATATATAGAATTCTATACCTATCAATGAATTTTTCAGTGTCAGTTCTAGTCGGGGGCCACCATTTACAATGTAACTCAATGATAAAAGGCGGGGTATTCCGATAACGGAACAAATCTCAACTTTTCGGAGAAATAATAAACGTCGAGTGTTCCGAGTGAAAAGGGAAGCGGTGCATGTAATACCGAATGACAATTTTAAAACGGAAAGAAAGAAAGGAATTTTTTAACGACTTCCCCGTTCATAGGCTTTGCCTAATTTCATATTACATATTAAGCGCAGGTCAATAAGTTTCAATTTTAAGTGATATGAAAAATATTTTCTGTTGTGCTGTCTTTGTAAATCCAATAATTTTCCTCATTTTTTTCCTCTTGATTACAGTTTCAGACCTAAAATAAAATTGCGTTCTTAATATTTATATAGATCGATACTAATATATTGTAATGTCCTAGAAATTTTACCTTTTTTAGTGATTTCGCTGATTATTTCTACTTTCACTTTCGTTTTGAGAAGCTTTTACTGGCGACAAGACAGTAAATCATATGTGGTGTCCTAATGGAACATACAGGACATCTACTTAAATCTACGTATTGTGCCAGCAATTTAATCATTCTTGATTCTGGAAGCTTTTCCTTTAATGGTTTCCATTTCTCTCAATGTTATCCGTGGTAGAATCCTGTGTTTTTAATCTGTTTTCGTGACTTCTGTCAAAATAGTTAATTCCTTTATTTTACACTCAAGATTATATATTTCGATTGTTTATGATGCAGCCTCACTTAATATATAGATTTGCCACATAAATCCATCTGAATTTAAGTGTTACCACTGTATATTTATAAAAATTTGCAATGAATTTTTCAATGTCGGCCATTTTGGACTATTACGTAGAGATTACGTAGTGAATGAAAGGGATAGTTCTTTATCCGATTGCGCATAAAAAGGAACACTTTACATTCACTTTTTTACTTTCGATATTAGCGCATGACAGCTTATAAATATATCTAAAAATCATTTGTTGAGGCTGTGACAAAAATTTATTTCGGTGCTAGGTTGAATGCATTTCAGTTCTTACATAAACTCGTTTAAAATACATTTCTAGCTACCTTACAGTATAGATCTACTGTACATGTATATGATGATCAAAATTTATCGCTTAAACGTTCTACATGTAGCTAAAGTTGTTAAAAACTTAAAATGATTACGATGTTTTAATAAAGGTTTAGAAACGTTTTCATTTTGCGTGCGTTTTAGCGTGCGTTTATCGTTTAGCGTATTTCGTTTAGCGTATATCGTTTTGCGTGCGTCTGCGTATTTCGTTTCGTTTTGCGTGCGTATAACGTGCGTTCGTATAGCGTGTAACGTGCGTTCGTATAGCGTGTAACGTGCGTTTTGCGTGTAAACTGACACGTTCACCCTACTGTATATGATTCGCAATATAGCTTTTAAATTATTTGTTTAAGTATCAGTATTTTTTTTCGTACTCTTCCGTGAAATACTTTATTATATGTGTTATTAAACATAGATTTCATCATACATTTATCATGAATTCACATAAAATCTAAACATTACTATAATATGATTGATATTTCGCCGACAGTTTATGCCTATGTGTTTATGAATGTTACGTTAAACAAAATTGAATATTTAGTAACATTTCATGAATCAATTTAAATTGATAGTTTATATTCTTATATTAACGTAGTCGGAAGTGTCAGTATTGGGTACATTTGTATTTTTCAACTCCATGTATGTGTTTGGCTCCCGGGTTGAAGCGTTCAGATGTTCATATTGTACATTGAACTCATCATAATTATTAATTTCTCTCCTGCTTGTATCCAAATCCGTGTACGTTGATGAGACATGGCTCCCGGCAATAACACCTAAATCAACGAGTATATATTATATGTATCGCAAATCAACTAAGTTTTTTAATGTTTGAGTATGTAAGAAATTGTATAAATTTGTAACGTTTAAAGACAACAAACCATGTGTGCCTTAAAAAGTTACAAATTAAATATAAAAAAACTCATTAGTTTCTTAATTATAGTACTGAATTATTGCATATTAACACCTCACGATAATCATTTATATTATATTAGTTATAATGATTTTTGACAGGTCATATGTCCCAATATAAACGGTTATTAATATAACCCGAGCCGCTAGGCGAGTGCTATATTGCGAAAAACTGTTTATATCCGTCCATATTCGTCCATAACCTGTCACAAATATTTATAACGAATTTATAATACTGCAAACTTCCTTTTAAGAAAAAAAACGAGATTTAGTCATAAATTGACAGCAGCCGTGCATATAAACTATATAAACGTCACAATTATCCAATGGAAAGCGCCATTACAAACGTGTATTATTAAAAGTATACCGACATGAACGCTACCATAGCAAGTTATATAACTTAGTTAAAACATTTATAAACACAAAGTATTACAACTTATACACGTAACAGCAGGAAAAAAGTAAGCATGCAGGCAGGAAACAAAGCGTTTACTTAAAGAAATAATGTTTATTACCTTGTTTGGGACTTTCACGCTGTGAAGATCTTATATTTCTGAAAACACAAGTATTTGTCAAAATAACAATAGCAACAGTAAACATAATTTAACTATATATACATTACATTGTTATAAGATACTGAATATTTGTTTAAATGAAACCTGTTATTATAGTTGTTTTTTAAGTGAACTAACAAACAAACAAACAAAAATTACTGCCACCCAACCCACGAATCATGGGTTGTGCCCTTACCGGGTCACTACCATGTGTCTTCATATAATTCTAGTCCTGGTTAGTTCCAGGGAGCGGAATCAAAATTGATTTATTACAAAGATCTGTAGAAAGGGTTATCCCTCAAAAACATACATCACAACAAAATTTCATGACAATTGCAGGTTTTGTTTGATGGAGTCTGTACTTGGGAGATAATGAAAAAGTGCAACATCCCTCACTCCGCTAGCAACGAGAGGTATTCAATTTTCAACACTTAAAACTGCTGGAATCAATGATCCCGAAGGACCCAACAATATAACGATACTGGTGAGCAATAAGGGGCAAACGTTTAAATATTCCATATGGCGCTTGACAGCTGCTGTTGTGATGTACGAGTCCGGAGAAGGGTGATTTTCCTGCAGTATTAATCACAACAAAACTAGAAAATGGAAACTGCAGATTCAGTTTGATTGATTCTGTACATGATGGATAATCAAAAAAAGCAACATCTTTTGTTTCCAGAACTTGCTTCGTGTAATCTAGCTTAAAATGAATGTGTTTAAACGAAATATATAAGACAATCATATAAATCTGCAAAGTAAAAAAAACAAAACATTAAAATAAATCTGTTTCTCCATAATGCTGATTCAAATGTAGCATTCACAATATGTTTCCCTATCGTTTTTATAAAATAATAACACGCAAGCACGTCTTGTTTGAATTATGCGGACATTTTATCACTGGATTTACTTAAACGTTTTTCTTGAGTTCCATTGCGCTTGATTAATACATGACAGCTGTATATTTCCTTTAGTTTTAGTCATTGCAAATTTGCATTTATGAAATGTATGATTAATTTTTCAAAAAAAAAATTGTTTGATTACAAATATATATATATCTGTGTATATGCTTGATTGTAAGTCGTGGATATATTCAATATACATGAAATTTGTTTGTCATTTTTTTATGCGCTTAAGTTTTTAAATGCTGTTTATAGTATTTTGTATTTCGAATGCATTGCTATGGCATAAACAAATAAGATAATCTCCCTCCTATAATATTTCAAAGATGGTATTTTTCTTATCATGCGAAGTACCTAATCACTGAAAAATATAGAGCTTTAATGACTCACATTGAAGCAATAAAGCAATTGGGAAAATTGTAAAATACATATTATAAGTAATTAAAATAAAATTAACACCAGTATGCCATAAAAGTTATGCTTAACACTTTTAGCGAAATAATAAATACAGAGCAACATATATGACTAAATTATGTTTAATTACCTTCTTTTTAAGAATAATACAGCTAAAAGGATGCTCACAATCATAACAACAGCAACACCTGAAATACTACCACCTATAATGCCGGCATTATCTGATGATTGTGATTCTGCTGTTTTAACGTTTACTGAAAAATATACTTAAATAAACTAAGGAACACATAGGTAACACTGCATAAAAATCATAAAGTTTTAACAAGTACTTTGCTTTACAATTGTTGTCATGCATTAAATGTCAGCAACAGCATTTTGTTTTTATAACTTTATTATGTATACCGTTTGTTTGTCTAAAAATAAAAGCTTATTAATTGAATATTGATTTGCTGTAACCTTTTTCATTTCATGTCTTATGAATTATACCTAAAGTGTTTAAAAAACGAAAACACAAACGAACAAACAAATATAAAGGCAGGAATGTCATCATTTTGTAAAAGTATTCCAATGTGAAGTATTGGGTATTAGAAATAAGCAAATGCATATATCATCGACTTACTTTTAGTTGTGATCTGAAGATTCTGGGTAAAGGAAGAGTTCCCCTTTTTATTCATTGAAAACATTGTTATATTATACACTTTAGAACTCAACAAGCCAGTTAATGTATAGTCCATTGCCTGTTCATTTGTATCCTGAACTTGAACACTATTCCACTTCTCCTCCTGATTGTACTGATATAACAAAATGAAAGTCTGTGGAAAGCCACCATCAAAACCTGGAGTCCAAACCAATGTTACTGACGATTCAGTGATTGATCCCGATTTATACGTTAAATTTTTAGGCATATCTGGCTTATCTGTAAAAGAAATTAAGTATAATTATATATAATTATTATATATTATTAAGAAATAATATACGCAAATACGACATTATTTTAAATCAGTAAATCATTATAAATCATAATATAGTCACGTTTTTATTATTTAACAATACCATGCATATATTATTTTCATAGGATATGATCCATACATATTAGTCAATCACATATTCATTTTGAAAAATTCATATGAATTCAGAAATAGAATTTAGTTTACCTTCTGCTTGCAACATGAGATGATGGATATACCCTCCTATGGTATTTGACACTTTGACGCTATATTCTCCAAAATCTATTTGTGTAATGTTTCTAACCGAAAGGCTAGAATTTAATCCTATTGTGAATATTTCAAATTTTTCATCATTTCTTTCGATTGCAACATTTTCGTGGAACCACATAAATTCTGTTTTATTTTCTTCATCCAAGTATTCATAAGCAACAAACTTCAAAGTCTTGTTTGTATACTGAGCAGCTGCGATCTTATTGGGGAATATGCTATCAAGTGACGGTCGTGGTGAACCTGGAATTTATACAATATATTTTAATAGAAATAGTTCACAACATGTTCTATCCATATTAAAGCTGGAAGAATATAACGAAAAAGGATTTGCACAAGAAACACCACACGAGTTAAAGTGTAAAAACAAACTTTTTATCAGTCATCACTCCTACATACACAGTTACAGGATCCTTAAAGTTATTGGACCATCCGCGATATTTAACTTCCAAACTACAGAGTTATTTTCAGCAAATAAAGAATGTACAAGGATGTATAAGCAAAAAGGAAAAAAATACTGGTCTGTTTTGAAGAAAACGTCGAACAATATTGAGCGCTGCGACGTCGTTGTTGTCGTCATCATACAAAAACTTTAGTGTAGCCAAGTACCCAATCAATATTAAAGGTATCAATATGAAACTTGGAACACTTGCTTATCATGACAAGAACAATTGTAAGACATGGAGCATTATTCTGAAAGCTATGTTTAAGAGCAATGCCCGTTTGATTTTTTTTGTCAAAATAACTATTTAAGTACTAGAATTTATTCAAAACAATAAAGGACATCACCATGACATTTTGAAGACTTGTTAATCTTAACAATTTAAAAGCCAAAGGTATGGTGGCTGATTTGTGCCATAAGTTTTCGCTCCGCGACCCCGCCAAGCGAAACGTCGAAAAAAAACAAGTTAAAATGGCAAGGTGGCGGAGCGAAAACCCGCTTATAAGTGAGGGTGCGGTGCGAGATTCAAAAAATAAAATGTTACCCCGCGGGGGCGCGAAGCAGGCATTAAGAAATTAAACGACAGGGGTGCGGAGTGAAAACACGCTCTTAGCCGGGGGCGGGACGATGTTTGATAAATAAAACGTCGCCCGCACCACCGCTAATAAGCTTTTTTTCGCTCTGCGGCCCCGCCGATTTATATATTCATTTAACCTCAACCAGCGATCCCGCCAAGCGGAAAATCGAGCAATAATCAGACAAGAGTACCATGATGGCCCCGAGTTGCTCACCAGAAACAACTGCTTTTCAGTGTTGGAAATTATTCATTGACAATATTTTCTAATATTAAATTTGAGCATAGAATATGTTTAAACAATAATTTGAAGAAATGCCTTGACCTGGGGCATTAAAGTTTTTGATTAAACGGGGCAAATCAAATTAATATTGAGCAAACTTTGATAAAAGACTACCTAAGAATACTACAAAATTTGGTGATCATCTATCAATTATTTCAGTAGGAAATGATGTTCAAATGTTTTTCTATTTTTACT